CTAAGAATAAATGTCTCCATGAAAGATATAGAAAGGTTGATTTTTTTTTTTTGAAACATTGGGACTTATCTTTCACTTCTAAAGATATATAGTTTCCTCTTAGTACAACAGCCAAGACAGCACCTTGGACTCTCAGAGATGGTAAATTCTACTCCCAATTGCTCCATTAACTCAATATATGACCTTGGAAGTTTCTCTAAACCCCTTGGTGCCTCAATCTCCTTTTCTATAAAATACATATGTCTGAAATAATTAAATCACTTCACACTGCTTTTAAGGAAAAAACAGAAAAAGAAAAGGGAATAAAACATCTCAGATCAATGGAAGTTGGCATCTAAATGCCATGTATCAACTGAATTTTAATATGTATTAAGCTTGAATCAGAGCAAATAACAATAACTACTATGTATTATTGTAAAGTACTTAACAGAGGGCTCTGGCACATAGTAAGCTTTAGTAAACTTTAGCATTTACTGTTGTTTTCTATTATCATCATTACTATTATGATACAAATCAGGAGTCAGGGCAGCAGAGTCTGTGTGAGTCTAGTGAGGAAGGGGATTTTCACTAGGAAGTAGACCTTATAGAACTGAAGGAAGAGACAGGAGTTCAAGTTTGGAATGGGAATTGGAGGATGAAGAAAAGGTCATCAATCAGTCAGTCTATGAACCAAGCACATCAATTCATCAAAGCTGGTATTGCCAGACCCAACTAAGTAAACAGTACAGGATGCTCAGTTAAATCAGAATTTTAAATAAATATTTTTTTTTTAGGATGAGGATGTCCCTGCAATGGAGGAATATGTGCTTGAAGATAAAATGTCACAATTAATTTTCCACAACATTCAGGATTGTCCTTATTATGAGATATTGGATTGTTACCAATATTTCACTGCTATAATTAACTCTTGCATTGCTTGGGACATAGTTGTACAAAAATCTTTATTGTTTATCTGAAATTATAATTTAAATAAGCATTCTGTAATCTACCTATTAACCTTAGACTATAAAAGGAATGTTCTTAGGAAGACTCATGGGAAGGTCATCCTCTCTGTCCTGGTCTCACCACTGTAGGTCCACAACCCAGCATTTAGTAGTAGGCCTGGAGCTGCTCTTTGTAAACAGGGTCAGAAATTGGAAAGAAGAGCTGGACAGCAAGCAGAAGAGAGTGAGAAGAAACAAGAACCTACTTCTGCATCCGTCTTTAAGGACATCTGACTATAAAGACCTTCAAAAGATAATGGCTGCTGCTTCATCTCCAACCCTCCAAATCTCAAGCAGGTATATCTTTGGGCCAACTGTAACCTATAACTACATAGGGAGGAGGTTTCTGAGAACTGTATGTCTCAGCTTAACCATATCAAGACAATGTAAACCATCCCAATGATGATGATGGTTGATGATGATGAAGATAATAATATGAGTATTTTCTCAAGGAAGACTACTTCTTGAGGGCAGTTCTGGGAGACATAAAGACAAATTTCATTTTTACTCAAAGGATGGTAAACTAAATTATTGTGTAACAAAGTTCAAGTTGTATGATACAGCAGATTCACATTATGCCAAAAAATGTAAGACTCCCAGACACAGCCCAGGATTCATTTTAAGAGCTTTCATAGGCTTCTGAATGTGCTACCATGTATGCTCTTAATTCAAACCTTGACTTGGCTGTGTGGACATCCTATTCTGAAAGCAACCCTAAATGCTGGAGTGCAGGACTATGTGTCTGTGGATAAAGTAACAAAATTACATTTCAATCCATTATGGCCATCCTCTTATATGAAAGATGTAGATTGCTACCAATATTTAACTCTTACCATTAACTTGAATCAATATCCTTACAAAATAAATATGTACACTTGCAAATATTCCATTGTAGCATCTTTCTTACTATAGATATGCTGAGATAAAAAAATATTTTTACAAAACGAAGTAACAATTTTTAAAGCAAAATATCTATTATCAAATTGTTCTCTAGATAGGTATTACCAATTACACTCCTACCAGCCCAGCAATGTAAAAATATCACATCTCCCACATTCTCATCTACACCCACACTGAGAATTATTATTAAAAACTATTTTCTACCAACTTGAGAGGCAAATGGTGCTTTTATTTTTTTTCCTCTGGTGGATTAATATGTTTACTAGATATGTATATATATCCTTCTATGAGATACTTGTTAGGTTATTTCCCATTTCTTTGTTGCGGCATTAATTTGTTTTTCTTGTTAATAACACTCCCGAAGTTTTATGTCAGTCTTTTCATTTGTTTATTGTATTTTATGGCAAAGGATTTTCTTAATTAAGTGGTTGTAGTCAAATCTTCTAGTTTTTATCTTTGTTTTCAGTTTACAATGTCATGTATAGACATGCCTATCTACCACTGAAAGTGTTTTAAAAAGCAATTTGTAGGTTTTCTACTTTTTAAGAATGCACATTTTCTACCAAAGTCTTTGGTTCATTTGATATGTGCTATGAAGAAAAATATCTAACAATACCTCAAGTTTTCTCAAATAATATTCCAATTATCCTAATATCCTTTGTGAATTAAATTTCCTTATTCTGACTTAAAAAGACTTTGATCCTAAGTGCTAATGTATAATCATAGTCTTAGCACATAGTGAGTCCTAGAGTCAGACTACAAGGAAATTACTGTCACTTACAAGCTGTGTGACCTTCAGCGATTTATTTAATCACCCTGTGACTAAGTTTTCTAATCTGTAAAATTGGAATAATGTGAGGGTAAAATTATCATAAGGATTAGCAAGTGGAATTAACATGTGTAAAGCTCGTAGATGACTGCCTGGCACATAGTGAATACTCAGGAAATGTTACTGATTGGTGTGTAGTGAGATATACAGTGAAACACTGGCACAATTTCAGATTTGGGGTTTTAAGGACTGGGCGTGGGAGATCACCTTGGAGAGAGTGTCACAGAGTCCCACATCTACCCTCTGCCTCAGTGAGATATGATCTTCCATTCTGATGAGATATTACCACTTAGAGAACTTGCTACATGTCAATGACTGCTATGAAAAAAGTAGACTTTTAATCTAATACAGTAGACTTGAAATCCTTCAAATGTGAAAGAAGAGCTAGAGTCAGAATGAGATAAAGAGAGCCTGAGACTACACCCTAAATTGTTAATATATTTAAGGGTAGAAGAGAGAAAAGGAGAACTGTTAGAGAAGATAGAAAGAAATTGTTTCCCAAATCAACACAGTTCTAGACTGAACTGTGTCCCCTACCTGTGCAAATTCATTTGTTGAAGCTCTAGCTCTCAATGGGATTGTATTTGGAGATAAGACCTTTAAAGATGTAATTAAAGTTAAGTGAGGTCATAAGAGTGGGGCCCTAATCCAATAAAGCTTGTGTCCTTATAAAAAGAAGAAGAGCCTTCAAGGATCCCTGAAAAGGCCCAGTGAGGACACAGCCAGGCAGAGGCCATCTGCAAGCCAAGAAGAGAATCCTCAGGAGAAATCAAACTTGCTGTCACTGGATCTTGGCTGTCCAACCTCCAGAATTGTAAGAGATAAACTTCTGTTGTCCTATCCACCCAGTCTGTGGGATTTTCTTAGGGCAGCCCTGGCAAACTAATATGGGAAAGAGAAAAGAGAGTTTGAAAAAGGAGGGAGTGACTGATTGTGAGAAGTACTGCTGAAAACACAACAATAAAGTAAGCTGAGAACTTAAGTGTCTGTTGGATCAAGAAATAAGAAGTCACTGTTAATTTTGACGAGAACATTTTTAATAGACTGATAGAGGCAGACTGTAGAGGACTGAAGACTAGCATGATTCACACAGAAAATATGGCAATATTTCAAATCATCAAAATGGCAATATGGCTGAGTAGGCATTGTATAATGAATAAAGAACTTCATAATTAAATGCTTATTCACAACTTTTAGTCTGAACATCTTTTGCTGTAGATCTTGCCAAATTGATTCCCTTCATACTTCCCTATCCAAATCTAAATTAGTCACTGCTCTTACATATATGTTACTTTATCATTTTTAAATTGTAGTCTATCATGGTTACATATACTTCTGTAGTTACTTAGCTTTCTCTCTCACGAGGCAGTAAGCAATGTGAGAACAAGGATCATATTTGGTTTATTCCATTATCTATTATTAGAACATAGTAAACATTTAATAAGCATTAAATAAAACTAAAATTCATTCAACAATATGTCATTAAAATCTTTACATGTCAAATATCATTTTACTGACTGGATTTTATTTTATGTATACATATAATTTCCTACTATAAATTATACTATCTGGAATCATTTAGCCAGTTAATGATTAAATTCTGCTATAAAATTTAACCTTTTTTTTTTTCCCAGAAAAACTGTTTTGACCCTGGCCCTTTTTTGCAAGTAGTTTTCTAATTTTCTAAAGAGTGTTTTGGCCTGGTATGGTAGCTCATGCCTATCATCCCAGTACTTTGTGAGGCAGAGGTGAGAGGATGGCTTGAGGCCAGGAGTTTCAAGACCAGCCTGGGCAACATAATGAGAACTGACTCTATATATTAAAAAAAAAAAAAAATTAGCAGGAAATGGTGGTGCATGGCTGTAGTCCCAGCTACCTGGAAGGCTGAATTGGGAGATCACTTGATCATGGGGGTTCGAGGCTGCACTGAGCAGTGATTGTGCCACTGCACTCCAGCCTGTGGAACAGAGTGAGACTCTGTCTCAAAAGAAAAAAAAAATATATTTCATGGTAATTGCCTTATTCAAGTTTCCAACTCTAGCTGTATATAGCATTCTCATTTTTAATCTGTGGTAAGTAATTATTTCATATTTCTTAATTCTAACTTTGATAGCTTTTTTCCTTTAAAATAAACTTTATTAAAGTATAATTTACATATAATAAAATGCACCTATTAAGTTGTACAGTTTGATGAGATTTCACAAATGCCATCACCATAAACAAGATGTAGAATACATCTGTCACTCAGAGAAGAACACTCACGCCCCGTTGCAGAAAATCATCCTTACCTCTGCCCAAGGTAATCACTGAGGTACTTTGTCAATTTAGATGAGGATCTCATCTAAACTGAAACATATGGCACATATTCAGCAGAACATGATGTTGCAGGGATTCATCCATGTGGTAGTATGTATCAGTAGTTGATTCCTTTTTACTGCTGCATAATATCTTTCCAATGAAACATTTTATTCTTTTCAAAGAATAAAAAAAATTCTTTAGAAACAATTGCTTATCCATTCACAAGACGATAAATATTTAGGTTATCATCAGGTGCTTGAGTTTTCTATTGCTATTGTAACAAATAAACACACACTCAATGGCATACAATGACACAAATTTATCACCTTATAGCTCTGAAGATAAAGTCCAAAATAAGTTTCATGGGACTAAAATAAAAATGTGGCAGGAATCCATTTCTTCTGGAGGTTTGGAGGCAGTGTTTTCTTTTTTTTTCCAGCTTCTAGAGCTTCCTACATTGCTTGGTCCCTGGGCTCCTTTCATCTTCAAAGCCAACACATCTTTCTCACAGCCTATCTCTGACTTGACAGTCTCTTTTTTAATTTGTAAGGAGCCTTGTGATTACACTGGGCTTACCCAGATTCAGATCATATAGGATAATCTCTCTACCCAAGATCTTTAATGTAATCATACCTGCAAAGTTCCTTTTGCAATGACAGGTAATATATTCATAGGTTCTAGGGATTAGGCCTTTCCAGGAAAAGGTGTTGAAATCTTTGTGGGGCCATTTTTCTGCCTCCTATACAAGGTAAAGGGTATTATGAGTAAAGCTGTGGTGAACATGCATTAACAAGTACCATGTGAAGATAGGTTTTTACTTCACTTAGTGGTGGAATTGCTGAGGTGGATGGTAAATCTATATTCAGCTTTATGAGAAATTGCCAAATAGTTTTCCAAAATGTTTGCTCCAGGTTATATGCTCACTAACACTACTTGAAATTTCACTGACTGACTCCATATCATTTTCAATACTCAATATTGTTGAACTTTCAAATTTTAGCCATTTAGTCAGTATGGAGTACTGTCTCAATTGTGGTTTTAATTTGCATTTTATTGATGACTAATATGTAGAGCATCTTTTCCCATAATAACTGATTATTCATATATTTTTCTGTGAAGTATGTGTTCAACATTTATGCCCATTTTCATTGCTTTCTGTTGTCTGATATAATGGTAAGAATATGTGTGTATAACAAGAGTTTTTTTTTTAGATATATGTATCTTGAATAGTGTCTCAAAGTCTTGGGCCTCTCTTTTTCTTAACGGAGTATCTTTTTATGAGCAAAACTTTAAATATTTGGTGCAATTCAATTTTTCATCTTTTTCTATTATTATTAGTGAGTATATTGCCTAGGCTACCATCATGATGATGATTTTTTCTTCTCCCCACCCCCCCACAACAATCTGTTCTGTATATTCAGCTTTTGCATTTAGTCCTGTGATCCACTGTGAGTCAGTTTTAGTGTATGGCCTGAGGTAGGGGTGAAGGCCCATTCTTTTCCATAGTAATACTCAATTATTTCAGTACAATTTATTGAAATTACTATATTTCTCTTATTGCTATGCACTGGCAACTGTCAAAAATTAAAGTATTGTACTTAGCATTTTAATAATATTTTAAATCCTTTTGTTAAATGTGTATTGTATATATATTCTTTTTATATGTTTCTTTTGACAGCCTTTCTAATATATACATATTTAATAAATATATCAAAATCAGCTGGATTTTTCAATATCCTTAAATCTTGGATTTATAAGTCAATTCTATAATTTTTCTATCTTGCAATTATGCAGGTGATTACGTGAATTGATTATAAACCTGTTAGAAAAATATTCGAATTTAATAAGGTAGGGAAATTGAATAATATATAAAGTTTATATTTGCTATGTTCAAATAATCAGAAAACAATAATAGAAAATGTACATTGTTTAAAAAACAATGGAAATGATAAAATGGTTAGATATAAATTTTACAAGAATTGCATCAAACATAATTTAGAAAGCTATAAAATATAAAAGGATCAAATAACTGAAAAGCATCCTATGCCTTTGAATAGGAAGATGTAACTGCATAACTATGTCAGTGTTCACTAAACTAATCTATGCATTCAATACAATCCTAATTAACAAACCAAGAGGATTTTGTTGTCATTTACATGCTTTTGTCTTTGTAGTTTCTAAATTTACATTTGATTTCTGTACCTATAGGAAACTTAGGAAATAAACAAATTATATTAAATTCACCTTGAAAATAAATATGTAAAGAAGCTAGGACATGTTCTAATAATGGAGAAAATTAGAAAAATCTAATAATGTGGGCAGAGAGTCATAAAATTTTAAAATATATTAGCAAATAAAATAACTTTTAAAACTTTAGCACTAGAAATGAATACATATTTATAATGGTACTAGAAATGTTAGACCAAACAATAAAACAGGGTAGAAGAAAAAAAACAAGACGCACACAACTGGCTTTTGTTTGTGGTAATGATGGCATTCTAAATTAGTAGGGAAGATAGGGATAATTCTATGAATTATGTTAAATAAAAGTAAAGATGTGTCACCACTCTTTAAAACAAAATAAATTTTTGATGGAACAAAGATTTAAAGCAAGCATAAAATTTCTAGAAAGAAAGCACTGTGTATTTATTTGTAATACTGAAATGAGAAAGACCTGTCTAAATTAGACATAAAATCTAAACACCTTTAAGAATAGATAACACTGACCATATTAAAACAGACAAAAACTTACCATAAACTAAGTCAAAAGGCCCACAGAAACTGAAAAAGAATTTTGCAACAGATACAAAACAAATTTTCAAAATTCATATATAAAATCTTGAAGAAAAATTTGCAAGAGCTATAAACAGGCAGCATAGAGAAAAACAAAAAGAAATGTGCAATAAATATCTGATGAAATATAGAACCTGACTCACACTGATAATTATATAAAATAATTAACTCATTCAACAAATTTATTGAGTATTTCTTCTAAGTGTTGGGAAAACAGTCATTAACAAAATAAACCCAAATCTCAGCTCCAATGCCACTTACATTGTAGTAAGCAAAGAATAGGCCATAAACAAGATAAATGAATAAAATATAGTTTATTAGATGAGGACTGAGTGCTGTGGATAAAATAAAGCAGAGGAAGAAGAATAGAAGTTCTAAGGGGAGGGAGGAGTGCTGCAATTTTCTATGACAACCAGGCACAACCTCCAATAGAGGTATCAATGGGGTACGTTTCACAGTTTGACACCTAATGGAAATGGGTGTGTGCGCTGCAAAAGACATGTTCAAGAATATTTACAGAATTATTTGTAACAGCAACCACTGGAAACAGTATCTAGCAAGTCTATCAATACCAGAATAAATAAATAGTTTGGTATATTCACAAAATTGAATCGCATGCAACAATAAATCTGAATGCGCTACAAGTACAATAGAACAATATGTTGGAATCTCAAGAACATAGCTGAAAGTGAAGAAAGTAGTATTTCAGAGACTTCACCGTGTGGTTCCATTTAGATCAAGGTTAAAACTAGGCAAAACTAGAAATAGATTTAGACGTTAGGATAGCAGTTACCTTTGAAGAGGAGAGAGCAGAGCGTGTAATAATTACACAGTGAATGAGGATGTCTTTAGGATACTGAGAGTGTTCTATTTATTTGCCTAAGTAATGGTCACACAATTGTTTTCTCATAGGATAATTCACTGAGCTGCACAATTGCAATTTATAGACTTTTCTGTAGGTCTGTTGCATGTCAGTTTGAAAAAAACATAAAAAGAGTGATTTAACATTCTCTTTCTGGATGCCCAAGATTCCTTTATTATTCTTGACGTTTAAAAACTGAACCAGCTATTTTTACCTTTTCATTAACTTTTCCTGTTACTCAGTGAAAACTTTGATCTGTATACTTGGTTCTTTCACAGGCCAGGGGAGCTTCTTCATGCTTTCCCTCTTTTCTTTAATAAGAAATATTGCACTTCATTGGCTCTCTTATCTCTGGTATTCAATTTCTACCATATTCATTCATATTGTCTTTATGTCTTTGAATATTTCTGCTGTACTTTCAGAGTAATTACCATTTGTCTTTCAAAGTATTTGATTATCAATTCACCTCTGAATTTTTTACTGCTAATAATTTTCATTCTGAAATTGCTTTTTAGTTTCCTAATGTAGTAGTCATTGAGGCTGTTCATGTTTTTAGTTTTTTTGTTTGTTTAAGTTGCAGAGAAGGTACTGTTTCCATTGAAATCAGTCATGGCCACATGACCTGGTTTGACTCATGTAATGTGAGTGGAAGATAAATGTAGACCTTATGTGCAGAGACTTTAGGAGTTATGAGATAGTTGTCATACTCTTGTTCATAATCTTTGTGCCTCAGAGATTAGCAACACTCCCTATCATGGCTTCTTCATCATCCTGGGTCCTAGAGTAAAATCAACTTGGAACAGAGCCCACTGGCAACCCACATTAAATATGTAGGATAAGTAAGAAATAAAATTGTCCTGCTTGAAGCCACTGATATTTTGGACTTTACGTTACTGTAGCAATATCATACCTATCCTGAGTGTTATATCATGTATTATTATTTCTAGTATTTTCCTAATATTAGTAATTTATACAATTCCATTTGTTTTCAGTCACAATTGTATACTTATACAGTAGTTACTTATAAAATGTTATGTTTACTGTCATAATTATTCTAAAATTGTGACCAGTTTCTTTATATTAACTGCTATCATCTATTTTCTTACCGTGGATTTTTTCATAGTGTCAATGAGATGTTTACTTAGAATGTACACATCCTTAAATAAAGACTGCCTTTGTCTTCCCCTCACTGTATATTGTGTTATTGTTAGAATTTTCAAACATGCTAAAAGAGCTGGTGAGTCTAAATTCACATCAATAATTAAATTATGCAACAACCTGACAGAAGGGAAGCCAAGTTGAGTGTAGTCTTAGTTGAGAGATGTTTTCTATGTTCTCTTTCTTTTGTGTTTAGTAAAGGTACTTCACCAGAGGTCAATTTTCTGTACCAATTTCTGGTGCAGAGTCCAGCTGTGTCTGTGCTCAGTCTCCCGTCTGACGCCACCACATCAGAGAGAAGCCCATATTACACTCAAAACAAGCCCTGGTTCCCTGCTGAGTTTTGTGCTTTCTAAGGTTCCCAAGCAAAATTCCAAATCTTCTTGTTTTAATTTTTATAATGTTTATCATTAAAATAACTCTCACATGTGAATAAATCAAATAATGTTAGCCTATCATAATTTCCATAGCTCCTAGCCCCATACCTGTTTAAACCTGTAGTTCCATTCTCCAGGAGAAATCTTTTTTTTTTTTAGTGGTAATATAGATGTTAATTTTTAATATTTTTAATATCTAAAATAAAGAATAACAAGTAAAGTAGAATTGCTTGTTAAAATATCAGTTCAAATTAAAAATCACTATAATGGTTAAAGCTGCTAACATACTGAATGATTATGCTCTAGGCACTGTGGAAAAACCTCTTTAATATGTTTCTGTTACCTCCAAAATACTAGATAATACACTTATATCTCTGTCACTTCATTTATACACTCCAGACAGGTGATTGATTGCCTAAAATTTTTAAAAGTTTTGCTAAGTAAACTTTTAACCCACTCCACTTTCTTCTCAATGCTTAATAGAAGCATTTTTTGCAATTCTTCAAATTGTTGTTAGATATTTAATGTTTCAATTATTAATGTGCTTATATTTGCTTCCACAATCCACTACCCACTGTCTATGTGCTATTCTTTTACATTCATACCGGGGTTTTTATGGTTAATATATTTAATTCTGCATCACCACCTAAGTCTTACACAATTTGTCCATTACGAATGCAGGCTAGGGTTATGTGAATAATACCAAAACTACTGAGCCGCACGGAAGAGAATGTTAGCAGCATCAAGGCAAAGACACATTTTCTTATATTCCAACATTTGCTTCAAATCAATTGTTTATATGCAAATTATTTTTTTCCTAAAATGTCATATTGCCATTCCTTTTCTTTTGAATCACACACTTTATCATCCCTCCAGTTTATGCCATCCACTCAATCAGAGTCCCCTGCATGAAATCTTCGTTTCTCTTCGCTGGCCTCCCTCCCAGAGCCCACCGTTCTCCTATGGAACTCTGAAACAACCATCTTTAAGCCTGGTGGACCACTGTCATCCTGAAATTCCCTTGTATTGCTCTGCTTCTTTGTCCCTGTGTCTTTGTATTTCTTGATCTTCTCCCTCATTTTGCTACAGCATACCCTCATATAACTTTACCAAAATGTAAAGAGATCTGGGAGGTGTGGCTGCTTCTTTCATGATGTGGGACCTAGTTATCTCCTCCTTAAAAATTTCTCCTTTTCTTACTAAGATACAGAATTCTGTTTCTTTTTTATTCTCAAGCTGCAAAGTGCCCAAATAAAGATCCAACCTTGCAGCTAGGTATGTTCAATAATTTAAGGAGGCATTGTTGGGTGTTATTTCAGGGAACACTTCTCTGATGGGTGAAAATACCTGTAAGCACTCCATAGACAAGCATACACGTACTTCTAACCGGAATGCAGACGTCATGGGAGGAACTCCAACATCCATTTGAAACATGAGGTAATGCTGTGAACAGAAGCAATACGCTGAGGATAACAAAACAGAGGAGCCAGGCGCTAAGAAGCTTGGAAGCTGATGACAACATAAAACTGTTATATTACTGTTATATTAGCGCTGTTACAACATATTGTACTTAAAACATAGCGGTCACTTACTTAAAATACATTTTACAAGGGAAACAGAAACATTTATACGCAATTTAAGTAACTGTTTTTCTGATCCCAGTTGCTAGTTGCTGAATGCGATTACATATCGAAAATGGTCACTTCATAGCTTTCATCTCACTCTAATTTACTAGGCCCATTCCCCCGCCCCATCTACGTACTCCCGAAATCAAGTTTTGTTGAAATGTACAGCCTCGCCCATTCCCTCCCATGACGTCCATGGAGGAAGTGTGAAGTTGCAAAACAGAACAGAGTGAAGGTTATGCTCCTCACCGGACATCACTGCCAAGCACTCCTCAGACCTCAGGGCCGCAGTCGGCAGCCCACAACGTCCCCATTTCCCAAGCTCCTTCCTTACCACCCACGATGCCCCTACCGAGAAGTCTGGAAACTGTCTTCCCTCAGAATTTCCAGGAGTTTTCGGGACTCAGACACCTCTAACGGCACTCCCAACACTTGCCCTATCTTCATGTGATCTCTCCCCTCCGCGGCTCACCTTCCTCCAGTGTCCCAGCCCAGCCACAACACCCATGGCGGCCTCGTGACCTGGGAGGAGCCGGACCTGGGAGAAGCCGGCGAGGCCCTTCTCCCTCAGAAGCCACGGACTGTGCAGGCAGAACCTGCCTGAAGCCTGCTGGCTCCTCCTCAATTCACTCACAATGAAATCCCAGAAAGACCGATCTGTGAACCTACCGGTTGAGTCTTAGTGAGAAAAAATGAAGACGGCGGAATGAACGCACACGAGACCTTTTCTTGCAGAGCTCTGCGAGGACAGAAGGTGGGCTTCAAGGCGCATGCGCAGCAACAGACGCGCATAGCAACAGACATGCGCAGCAACAGGTACTGTGCAGCATGCGCAGAGTGGGGCATTCGCCCAGTGACTGTAGTTTTCCTGCCTCTGTGGAGAGCCTAAACCAGAAGCTCTCCTGACTGCCAAAACGAACTTGCAAAGCACTTTTCTTCTTCCCCCGCCCAACCTTTCTTTCGCTTCCAATGGCTTTGGAGAATATGGGTCCCAGGTTACTCTAAGGGAAGAATGTGTTTCAGAAAAATTCACCATGATAGAAGTAAAGATTAAATATTTTAATACACATTTTTTTAAAAAAGAAAATGGTGATAAAATTTCTGAGCTCTTAAAACATCTAAAAATACTTCAATTCTTCCCCCTTACTTGGTAACTATTTTTGTGATTACAGAATTCAAGGTTGAAAATTACTTTCCCTGTATGCTGCAGGCATTTCTCTGTTCTCTTCTAGCATTCATTGTTGCTGTCAAGAATCTAATGCAAGTTTGATTTTTATTTCTTTGTAGGAAACTGTATTTTTCTTCTTTGAAAAGTTTGGAATCTTTAAGATTTTCTTGATGTTTTAAAACTTTTCAAGAATGTATCCAGATGTGGGTTTTGTTTTCATTTCCATTCTTTGTACAAGGCACTCAGTAATACATGACCTAAAGATTTATGTTCCGTAACTCAAAGAAAGTGTCTCCTATTATTTCTTGGATAATGTTCGCCCTTCCATTTTCTTTATTCTGTATGTCTAGTTGTCAGTTATTAGACCTCTGCATTTGTTTATTAGGCTCCATCCTTTCCTTTATGTTTTTGGTTCTACTTTATTTCTCTACATTCTGGAAGATTTCCTGTATTTTTCAAGCAGCTTTCTTTTTAAAATTTTAGCAATTCTATTTTTAATGTCTAATATCCCATTCTTACATTACAGTAGTTTCTTTTCATAGCATCCTATCATAATATTTTGTGGAACACAATATTTTCTCAAATATCTGTGTGAATATTAATTAAAGGTATTATATTTTGGTGTTTACTGATATTAAAATATTTTCTACTCTTTTACTCCACTAAAACTTTTAAAAGTCTTTTTTGGTTGGTTTGTCGTGCTCATTTTGTGTTCTTAAATTTTTATATGTATCTTATAATCTTTGATGGTTTTTACAGAAATAGGACTAGGTAACCACATGGGTATTTCATGCATCTATAAAGAGCTAATTTGCTCACTATGTCTCACCTTGTTTCTCCTTGAGCAGAATTTCCAACCAGAAGGGTGGGAAGTGTGAGAGTGGCATAGGGCAGGTAGACATTGGGTCCCCAAATAACGGAATGAGGAGGGTCACCAACACCACACTTAAAAGCCTTGACTTTTCTGGATGGCTATTTGATTTTGCTATGGAAGAGAGTTTCAGAGATTTTACTCATGGTAAATATCAGACTGTCTTCACCCCACAGCAGGAATATGGGAGGGAGAAAAGAGTGCCAACAGGAGTAGTTACTTTGTTGCTGTCTTCTATCATACTTGCTAACTCTGTGGCAGAGTCTCTCTGGGCTTCATCTCTGCAGCCTTCTTTGTACAATTTGACCAGTCACTTCCTGTCTTTCAAAAATGTATTGAAAAATTTCATCCATCAAAATATGCTACCTAATCAGTTTTCTTCCCTATTATATATTTAATCCTTTTGTTCTTTCCTTCTTTTATTTTTGTGAACGGAAGTACATCATGTTGTCCTGGATTCTATATTCAAAGGGAGCTGATTGATGAAAGTAAAACAGAATCCAAGTGGTGTGTTCCCTGAGTTCTTTCTGTATTTTCAGCCCTCTCTTTTGGTCAATAAGCTTTCATTCTATGTGACACAAAGTCAACAAATAGTTATTGATTTACTTCATTGAAATATCCAGAGTTAGACAAAGCTTCAGGCATGGCTCTAACCCACGGTTTCATGTTGTCCGTACCTCTGTCTGTCTTTTGAATCAGTAGTATTCTTTGTTGGCTTTACTCTTATGACGCTGCTACCAGCTCCAGGCTTACATCAATGCAGGATCAAGTCTAGACGAAAAGTTTCCCAGAATACAAGCAAATTTGCCTTTCTTAGTTTATTTGCATTTCTGTTACAATCTCCGTGGTAAGAGGATTATAATGTTCTTTTCAGTATAAAGGAACTGCGTCTCTAAACCATTTCTATCAGCCAAAGGGATGCAATTCTCTGAGTGCCCACTCTAACACCAGGGGTGGTGTTGCTGATATTGCTAGTTTCAATTAAAATTCATTCTCCCTTTCTTCCTTTATGAGTATAACTCTTGGATTTTATTTGGCTTCATGGCTTCATTTCTTATCCTCCCAGAGCTAGATGTATGCTCATGGCTGGCTATATTTTGATCCACATCATGTAAGAAGAAGTGTATATGCCATTTCAGGGAGGATGGCAGGGCAACAAAAGTATCGAGTTTAGATCTGGAATATCAAAGGGCTTATTGTCTGTGCTGGTCACTCATCTGTCTTAATTTACATGAAAAGTAAATTTCAACCTGTTTCAGCTGTTATATTGCGTTTTTTGTAATTCACAGCCAGCTATTTTTTTTTTTAAGTAGAGATACTGTCAGTTCCCTCCCAACCACACAGACATCAACAATTGACATAAGTAGTTCACACACAAAAAAAAATAGTAATAATCAGAAGTTCTAAATTTACTCCAAATGTTTGGGACATTATTGCTGGCCAAGAAAATGTAAAAGATGAGGATACAGTATATGCAGATAAGGTCACAAATGGAGGATTCCTGGCTGCACTTTTGATGAAGCTGTTACCTTATGGTAGGAGTTATTGTGTGTTAGTCCTCACCGCCAGGATTTTGTTGACCCCATCTGCATGCACTTAGTAGATATTCCTTGATGTATCTGCCTTGAGGAAACCATTCTTCTATAGTTTTTAGTGCATATGCTCGCTTTTCCCTGTTTTAATACTTTTTGTCGTTATAAATTGAATTTTAGCCCCTACCCTCACCCTTACCTGGAAGTCTCTAAAACATTTTCTTATACACTTTTGTAAAGCAATTCAATTATTAAAACCAATTATACTGTTTAAAATAAAAGCCTGTAGAAGGCTTGCCAGCTACTTTGATATACATAATATTTAAAGGAACTTCTTTCCTTTTTAGTTCTTTAGAGTATAATTAGTTTCTCTAGAAAATGTTTGGATTTGGGGAAAAGGAAGATACATTTAATTTTTTTAAAACCAATATTCCTATTCAGATAACCACAATAAAAACTTTTCTCTAGCATTTGGATTAATCTTTTTTAAAGGATTGTGTTTGCTCTATTATGATAAATCCTGAAATTTAAAATGTCCATTAAGTAACGAACACCTTACGAAGACAAACCTGAAAATAGACCAGGACTGGCAATTAAGAAAGCAGAAATTGACACCCAGCTGTCTTGCTCACCATTATGTGACCATGAAAGAGTCATTAGTGGACTTGAGTTGTTTCACAGCCGCATCCCTTTTCGTCATAGTAAGAATCAAGCTCTCACAGACATCTATCCTTATCTGTGTGCAAACTTCCATCTTCCTGAGTTTATTTTCTTCAAACCTCCAATCTTAGCTCTCTCTCCCACTTTAACTTTTTCCTGTGAGATCTATATTCTAAAGAAAATAAATTCTCCACCATGCTCAGTTTCCATAAGCCTATCTCCTCACCTTCTTCCTTAGCCCTCCTCCACACCTCCCATGACAATGCCACCTTTCCACACATATACACATCTTCTCCTTCATTCCACATTTGTTCTTTGAGCTCATGGATACATTATTGGCTCCGTGATTCTCTCCTACCCATCCAGGCCCTCTCTCTGTTAGGACTATTCTTTGTCCTTCCAGCTTAACACTCAAGGTCCATCACTCTAATCAATATGCAACTGAAACTGATATTTTCAATGCAGGCACTCCTTTGTTTCATAGAACAAACCTGGAACCTACTATCTTTCAAAAACTCTACTACTTTCTTGCTATTGCTAAAAATTAAAGTAGGAAATCACATCTGTATAAATTCATGCCACTAAAACTTTCAGATTTCAAACTGCAAATGAGTTTGAATTCTTTCCAGTGAATCTATCCCCTTCCCCCAGTGTATATATTACATCATAATAATTCAAGTCTCGAATCCCATGACTCCTTCATCTGCTTTAGGAGAAAATGAAGGCTTCAGTATAAGAACTAGACCCATTCTCTGCCCTTGACCCTACAGAGTCAATTACATCTGCAAACATCTCTCCCTCTTCTTCGTCCATCATAGAAGTAGTATCCACATTCCTGCCTCATGTGGGATTCTGGGTCCTGCTTCTTCCTGAATCCTTGAAGATTTGAATCTATCAGTTATTATCCCATCTAGGATTTCCAGTATCTCCTTATATCCTGGTTTTTCTTGTGATTGTCAAAACATATTCAAGTCTCACCTATATTAGAACACATAAACAAATTTCTCCTGACCTTGTGTGCATATCTCTCTAATGTCTTTTCTCTCCTTCTACTGATTTATTTCAAATGATACCTGCACTCACTGTTGCCGCCTTCTTTTTCTCCAGGTATCTTTAACTCATTGATCCATACTTTCATCAAAACTTTTCTCACCAGGGTCCTCAGTGGTCTCTGCTGTTAAATCCAGTTATTTAATTTTTATTTCTTTCTTGACTTATGCAGCACTTGAAATCATAAATTATTTCCTCCTTCTTAAGACTTACTCCTCAGGCCACCTAATACAATAATTTCATATTTTCTAATAATTCTCTTGCTTCTATTGCTCAGATTTTTATAAAGCCTTCTCTCCCTCAATAGTTACACCTCTGATTTTGTAGCCCATGTTCCTGTCTTTTTCTTTTTTCTCTTATAACTCTAAATTGTTAGGTTCTATCCGTTTCAGGAGTCTGTTAAAAGCCAAGGATATGTCAGAAAAACAAACATATGCCATGATTTTTGTATACAGTGTCAGAGTTTGTATCAACCTTCTAATAGTCCCCCATGGATCCCATTTCATGCTTCTCTCACATGTTCACATTCCCTCTCATGTTTTCAAGAACCACTCATATGCTGTTTACTCCCTTTCACCATCTCCAGCCATGACTGCCACCTTCCTACCTAGCTCTATCTGAATGTTCTCCCGTAGACCTCATCCTCATTCTGTCCAAAATGAAACACACCAGCTTCCTTCCTGCAACCTTGATTCCACCCTTACCACTGGAGCAAAAACTCCGTAAGCCAAGGGATCTTGTCTATATTTTATGTCTTTACTTCTAACACCCAGAAGAGTGCCTGCACATGACAGGCACCCAATAAATTTTGACTGAATGGAGGAATCAATATGTCTTAACTCAATAGATAACTCTACTATTTAGCACTTGACAAACTATAAACCTGAGTCTGCTTCCTTCCCCACAAGCCTGAGTCATTTTGTCTCTAATTTCTTAATTTCACTATTTTTCTGTGGTACTGTAATGGCCACCTCACTCCCTTTGTCCTTACATCCTTTATTCCATTTGTTTTCAATATTGCTAGAGTCATCTTTCTAGAGTGCAAATATGTTTATGCCCCTTTCTTCTTAATTTTTTTCCAGCAATTCTGTAAAATTGCTGGCTTTTCAGTTAAAGTTCAAATAGCACAGGCCAGAGGCCTGTAATGGTCTTACTTGTGCTTTCCTTCCATCTATTCCTCGCTGCTTCCTCCTGATACAGATTCTATGCCTGACCTTGCCACAAAAACAACTAATCTTGCTTGCCTGAACCTATCTTGTTCTCTTCAACTTCAGGACATTGCTCATGGTTCTCTGCCTGGAATATTAAATGTGTCTGCCTCTCTCCAAGCCACTGCTCAGGACTCCTGCCATATGCCCTTTCCATGGCTACTCCCTTCTCATCCTCCAGTATGGAATAAAACTCTTTTCTAAATGCTTCCATGGTACCCTGTCCTCACCCTTACCCTAACCCTTGTCACATTGTGATTTAATTGTTTATGGCAGTCACCTCACCTCATTGTCTATTAAAGGGTAACTTTAATTATTGCAAGAACTGTGTCTTATTTATGTTTGCTTCCCTTGTGTTTAGTATAGTGCTCAATAAATAGTCATGGAGCCAATTAATCCCATTGCTCTCAGCTTTTGTTCTCTATATGGTGAGATTCTCCCAGATGAAATTTTCAATGCTTTGGATTCATTTCATGCATTTCACTGTCACTTTCCAAATAGTCTGGGTCATGGAAGATTTCCCTAATGAAGGAAATGAATAGAAGAAATGTATACATAGATTGTGTGCCATGGTAATTAAATCATTAGTGCTGAACACTGGTATTGAGAATAGAGCATGTTAACATATGTTTTTTTGTTTTGTTTTGTTTTTGGTTTTGTTTTGTCAGAAGCAATAAGTAAAGATGAAACATAGTAATTCCAGACTGTGAATAAAAAGGAGTTTTCTTGATGATCTATCATAAGTCTCCAAGAAAGGAAAGCAAAAGGCAAACATTTCCCTGTATTTCTCCAAACTTC